TGAGTGCTAAGCTGTTCAAAAACTGAATATTCCAAGTAAAATAATTCACAATACCACAAAACGTCCACTGCAATTAATAATATCACAAGACAACACCCCAAAAAAAAACCTCATTATTTGCCGCCGTTAATTCTGAAACGTTCATTTACGCTCGCAAACTTTCCGAGTCCTTTCAAATGCAATATTTTAGGTCGTCCGCTTAAACAAAAAAAAAGTTCTCTCGCAGAAATTCCAGAAGAGGGGGCTTGCTGCCTGCAAGGGCGGAGGAAGTGCTGTGAGCTTGTCTGCTCATAATAAGAATGAGACTATATATTATTACGTATGCACCGCGCTGTGAGAAGAACCCGGGTTGAAGACCAACCTCCACATAGACAGACGTACGAGCATGCTGACAAGTCAATCCACTGCTGGATGAGGATTTTTCCCATTCCAGTGTTAATCGGCATGGTTGGCTACGTACGGTGCGAAAGAAGTTCAACGTACGTACGGACGCACGACTTTAGCTCAACAATAATCAGTTTGCTCCACTTATTACTGTGCTTCGTGTGCAACACATTCAGTTCCAGTTTTGGTTTTTAATTAAAACATACTTTAAGTTATCCTTGCGGTTATAGCATTCTTTTGTCAGTGAACCAATAGTTATTTCAGTTCTCCCGAAGAGAGTGGAACAATACAAGAATAGGTTTAACCCTTTCTGGCAATAAAACAGTTGTGTTTAGATGTTAAAACACCAAACTGAAACCTTTTGCAAGGAATCTGCTGTATATGTGATTAATGTCTGCATTAATCACATATACTTGTGGTGTACATGCAAACAAAAACCATGCTCTGGTAGTATATGATGATGCATTGTATTTGAAACTGATTGGTGCACACCAGAGACAGCTTTCTTTAGAGCCTAGTCTCAAACAGTGTTAGTAGACCAGAGGATGCCAAAAGGCGAACAGCACAAAGACAATGCCACTATCAGGACATTGAGAACTCGGGGTGAGCAGCTCAGGGTGAGCCAGAAAGGGTAAACCCTATTCTTATATTGTGATACTGGCAAGAGAGATCCCATGATAGAGTGCAACGATGCGGACGTCCAGAATAAACGCCTCATTCGAAAGCCAAACATCGCACCTCCTGGCTTTGACACATCTCCAAGACACCGGTGTAACCATCAACCGCATCAGAACATCAACAGGCCGATTCTCACATCTCCTTCGTGAATGGAGAATTAAAAGGTCACACGCCACGGTGGGACTGCGGCCATGCAACACAAACTATGGACCATCTAAGTAAACCACTGTGGTCTGCGCGCCTTCAACGGAGGAGGAACGGCAAAAACGACACCAAGTCTCTCCTGAAGCCCTCTCGCCGTCGTGGCTAGCTGACCTTGACAATGGCATTAAAAGCTCCCAAACATATTAGCCAAAATCAAGATGGGATTAGCTGTCGTTCTCCATCCTGTTAAACGCTTACATTTAATCATAATAAATGTGAGCGGACCAAAGTAAAGGTATTGTCAGAAAGTAAGAGGTGAGTTTTGTGCAAGTGTTATTATGTAATGCGTATTGACACCGTGTCTGACCTAGTGCCGTTAAGCTTGACACCATTCAATAACATTCCCATACCACTCTGATTCTCTTACATATGTTGAACATTCATTTTCAGTTCAATTATAGTGCTGCCAACATCATTTCATATATATTCGCTGTGGTTGCTGTTCAGGAAATATATAAGCGCTAAGTTCTGGCCCTCGGTCGCGATCGTGACCATGGTTTGCACACCACCGCCCCACAACTGTTCACTTGCCGGAGCGCAGAGAAAAAAATACGCTGCATGGCACCAACGGTCAGGCTCCGATAGAACAAAAATATATATTATTGCCCATTTTACGGAAAAAACAGGCGAAACTCATCTGTTTGTAAAATAGCCCTTCTAAAATGTGACTTGTTTGTTTATCACTTTAATGCGTCATGTACTACCTTAGCTGAATCATACAAATGTAAAACTGCAACAAAAAAACCGGTGAGTCATGTGTTACTTTGCACATCCGAATTCCATGCTTTTCTTCGTGAAAAATAAACACACATACACAGACACACACCGCGATGAGTTCGGCGTTTTCACGTGTCCACATTCCTGCGTGCATGCGAATAAACGTAAAAATAAAAACTGTCAACAACAAAAAAACCTGTCACGTGTAAACCTCCAACCGTTACGACCGAAAAAACAGTCGCCTCAGCGGTGTCACCGCACCGTAGCCCCACGTGGTGGGGCAGTCAAAGCGACGGGTTTGATGAAGAGGGGGCCCGGAGGGATATAGGACAAGAGGGTCATCATCATCATCACCATTACCACCATCCATGGGCAGATAGCCCGTAGTTAGTGTCCACTGCACTTTCCACTGCTCAAGTGGTGGACACATCTTTCTGGCACCAATGTCCCATCATGTCGTCGTCAAGCCATTCTCTGTTGGCTCTTCCTCTCTTTCTGGTTCATTTCCATTTTTTCCCAAACAACAACAACAACAACACTTAAAATACTCCTTTGATTCTTTCGGTAAAGTCACGTAGGTATAAAATAAAATAAATTAAATCACGTGACGTTTCGGGCGCAACACAAGCGTCCGTCATCAGTTGGGACAACCACAGCAAGAAACAATTGCTGAAGTGGGCAAAAGGGCTGCCGTGACAAGAGGCTTTATAGGTAAGAGAGGGGGGAGGAGCAAGGGAGGAGAGATAGAGATGGGGGTGTGGGGTAGGGGGAGTGGAGCGCTGCTAGAGGGATGTTCCTGTTGCTGTCCACCCTACATGTGTGTCCAAATAGTGCCAGTTTCCTTCTCATCATTGCCTGCATCAGGTCTTCTTCTATTACAAGGAGGTAGGTCCCATTTTATTCCTTGCACCAGGCCCCATACCACCCATGCTATGCCACTGGGGTCACCTCCCTACCGCCAGCACATGCAGCGAAACGTCGGTCATCGTGACCAATATTACGCGGCACAACCCGCAAACTAGATCGGAGGTGTGTGTAGCACAAGCGCAAAGACATAGATAGCAGACTCTTGCTACAAATGATTGCAAAAAGGGGCCCTCGCTAGCAATAGTATGAGTGGAAGATATTTGCCTCTCTAAATATATAAAAATATATATTCCATCCTCATCAGCCGTGGTCATTCCACTACCGGATGAGGTCTCCCCAAACCGCCAGCACCACATCTCACGATCCTGCGATACAATAATTACGACAATAATCATCCACCTAGCACCTGCAAACATATACAACAGCTACAAATTAATGGATGAATGAATGAGTGGCGATGAATGAGAGGCAACGAATGAACAAAATGAATGGAAAAAAAAAAATGACGAACCCAAGGAGGCACCGGGTGGGCTGCGGACACGGACATGAGCTCACGCATCGCGCGGGGCCACGGAGGCCCCTGTGGGAAGCCGGGTTCCAGAGACGGTGGCACGGACCCACGGTCCCACGCAGCCCGGCCAAGTTCTCGCTCACAGCGGCACGAGTCTCGGAGCGAGCGTCGGCTCCGTTTTCTCCTCCCGCTCGTTGTGCTGTGTTTTTTTTTTACTTTACTGGAGTCTAAAATCTGGTGCATTTTCTGAGTCGGTAAACTTGTCATTCACAATCTGACAAAATGTCCCTAAGTTACTCCTGCTGTTGATTGCTTCCCCTCCCCCACCACTCCGCGTTTCTCTTGTGGCCAATGACCAAATCACCAGGAATAATAAATAAAATAGTTTTAGAAAGTGCCTTTTAAAAAAAACACACAAAGCGCTGAACAATTACGCAGCAGTATCGTGGCCACAAGAGAGGTACGGATAAGAGAGAGATGTGTGGGGGCCGTGACAAGCGAGGCGGTTGTGAGGAGGGAGAACTGAAAGTAACGTGGGAAAAAAAAGATTCGTCTTGCGTCCATGCCCCTCGTTATATTTCTGGGTTCTCACTTTCACTCACCCACTGTGGTCGTAACGGACGTGACGGGACGCCATCGTGCACGGGTGACCTCCACGCAACGCCAAGTTGTCAGCGGCCGCTGTGAGGCTGTGCTACGTAGCGGGCAGCAGAGAGCTGCGTGCGAAAATCCATTGCTGAATTGAACCTCACTGCTCCCTACCTTCATAAAACCTGCATTGACCATTACTGATTTCTTGATTGATCCATTGACTGATTTACCAAACTAAACGACCAATTACATGACCAAGGAACTGCATGCACTGCACGTACCGCTCCACAGCTTAAGTGACAAGTTTCACAGCCAGTGTTCGGGACAGACAGCTCAGCGCGCCGCGTACCGGTGTAGCTATCTTTTCACGCAGGCGGTGCAACTGCACCGGAGAACATGGGCTGGAGGGGCACAGGTGCTGGGCTACCAAGAGGGGGCAAAGCAGGTGGCGTGCGCTGGAGAGGGGCCCCACTCTCCCCCGTTTCATTCCTTGCAAAAGGACCCAATGCAAAGGTCGTGCCGGTTCAACCTCCCGGCGCAGCGGTTGAAACAGCGGCGCAAGTTTCTGAAGTCTCCCCTTGGAAACCTCCGCCCGGCCAGCATCAGCATAAACGACTTCACCGCAGTTAGTCGATCAGCAGGTAGCGTTTGGCACGGTAGAATGTGGGGGTACTCGCACCTCTTCCGAAACCGCCTGACTAGCTGCACAAAGCAGGCCAAATACCCTCAAGATGGGTTCCTCTCCAGGGCTTACTCGAGTTGGGGCACCGTCCCCGCCAGCGCTGGCGTGGACCCACACCAATCAACCAACAGCCCCTGGCACAGGTGGCTCTTTAAACACAAGAAACCACAACAATAACGACTCGCATTTTGCATCGCGCGCTCGGAACGCAACAAAACGCCTCAGAGAACGTGGCTTTATTTCTGCCCGGGGGGACCCCCACCGCACCCCACCCTTGATTGACAGCTGTGTCCCGTGAAACGCGTTCCCATTGAAAGAAGGATGAACGGGAAGGGGGGGGGGGTGGCGAGGGTGGAAGCGCCATACCGTGCGTCCCAGCAGCAGCGGGGCCCTCAGGACGTCCCATTCGGCTGGTGAGGGCAGCAGGCAGCGCACCACTGCAGGCAGCGGGTGGGCGGTGGGCAGCTCCGACGCAAGCGCGACGTCAACCAGCGAGCAGGCGGCGGCACCCAGAACGTCCAGGCTGGGGGACAAAGCACTTCCGTCACAGATGTCCAGTAGGGCGCGGGGTCAGAAATGTGTTTGTTATTTTATCGGGTAAAGGTCCACTGAGCTATTAGCTTCTTTTTCAGAAGCGACCTGGACAACAAAGAATAGTGCAACGAAGTGGCTTATCGCGTGGAAATTCAGAGCAGACAAATAACTCGCAGGCACCGGGGATACTCAGACAGGCACGTGCAGACACACGCACAAACGTTCGGAACACAATCACAAAATAATTGGTTTTGTACCTTGGTAAAAACTGTTCTTTTGATGGCTGGTGTCGCTGGGAGATACACAATCTATTTTCAGTAATGTGTTACGTAACAAGGATAATGACCTTTATTTATCCATAACAGCCTCACTCTTGAGTCTCCAAGACTTTTTTTTTCGGTTGGGCACTGCATTGAGATTTTTGGCTCATTCCATGAAGGAGTGTTTTGCATTAGGGAGAAAACCAGAGTAACCACAGCAGATGACACATATGAGAGAGGACAACATTCAAAGCTCCGCACAAGTGGATTCAAGGATTTACTTTCTGTACCGCCATCTCCGGGCCACCTCGTGGGCCCAGTGCATTTGGGACTTTCATAAATAAATAAAGCAGGCCCATCCACCCTCGCCTAGAAGGCTCCCGAATACAGGTATTCACCACTACGCTTGGCTCTGACATGCATCTGCAATTACAGTAACCGTTCCCTCGGTGAAGAGAACCTGAAATGTCCAAAATTGGAGAGATTCTGGATGACAGGGAGGAGCCGTGCCACAAACACACACACACAATGGTTCCGACCATGTTAAATCACTACGAGTCCCACAATAAGACGAAACCAAACTATTTTTTTTTGCCAGGTAATTCCCACTGAACACTATCCAGGTCTTTTTTCAGAAGCGACCTGGCCACAAATGATAGCTCAACAAAGTGGCTGATCATGTGCGAAAATTTATAATAGCCAAATAACCTAAACGCACGATGTTTCTAAATGTGGAAAGGATAACGGGAGGACTCGGAAATGAATCCACGCAACCACAGGGAGAACATAGAAATTCCAAATATACAGCAGCAGGTGTCAAGGGATCGAACCCACGACCTCCTGCATACCAGGCGAGGCAGTTTACATCTTGCCACCGAGGCGCCCCATTTGATTGTCATACTCAAAATAGAGTTTGACAACCTAACGTACGACTATTACTTGCAACAAATGAATTATTTATCAATTAAACCAAGAATCATATTTTTGTTTGTTTTTCATATATCACATTTTGTAAAAAAAATATTATTTAAAGCCTTTGTCAGTGTACCAGCAGAAAGCCTCCCCACTCCACACCCGTTGTGGGTCAAGGAGGTTGGTTGACTACACTTCACCAATTCTAATTTTTTTATGCTAATTCCTTTGTCGAGGCACCTTAATCCCTCTCACACAGCTTAAAGGTAGCAGTCTGAGCTTGGCTCTGTTTCACTCCAGCGCAGTCTTCGAGACAGGCTGGTCCCTTCACCTGATGAAGGCCGCTTGTGTTGTGGCCGAAACGTCGTGATTTTTGTTGTTTTATTTTTTTACCTACGTGACTTTACTGAATAGAACCAAAGAGTATACACTTCACCACATTGCTCAGTCAGAGCACAGGGCCCAGGACTGGTTCATAGTGCAATATGCTAACCAGAGCACCAGCACCCCAACGTTACCCGCGGTTTTACATATATGTCTGAGGCATATATGTCTGAGGCCTCAGACATATATGTACACCATTGCACACACTGCCTCATCATGTAGGTTGTTTTTTCCTTTCCCCCCCAGCCCCCCCCCCCTCCAAAGTAAATGTGCGTATTAACAACAGCGAGTGGGAAAAATACAGATTCAAAAAGCAACACCTGGCATGGTTCAAGAGTCTTCAGAGAAGTCATCTCAGTGCAAAGCCAACTGCACAACATTGCCGTTGTCTGCTACGATCTGATGCACGTATATCGATATCGACTCACGCCTTTTGAACCCGTTTCTGTTTTGAATCTACATGCATTTTGAGTTCGGGATTACTGAACGGCTGCCAAGTGATTACAAATGCTCCACCGGCAATGCCAGTTTTGTTTGAGTGCCTGGTCAAAACCCATCGGCCGTAACAAATGCAACCCCTGACTCTCCCATTAAGCGCGCATTAAGGGCACCGAAAGTTCACTGCGAGAAGCGTAAAAAGGCGTTGCTCTAGCTGACGGAGGGTGTGATGCGATTGTAGGGCGCAGACTTTAACCTGAATTCGCTCACCGTCGTGCCAGCATTGCACGCGAACGCACAGATGGCACACGCTCGACGCCTGGGAACTGTCCAAAAGCAAAGTGCCAACCCACGAAGGTTGTTGTGATGGAATCGAAAACATGACTCTTAAATGAACTGCGATCAAACACTCTTTATGATGTTACCGACTTGGGGCTGACTGGAAATGATGAGGAACAAACTGACACCGCCAAACAAAGTAAAACAAGCTTGATAATAGGGGCCAAGGTGATTTTCACGACGCTTGTTTTTACAAGTGGATACGTCGTGACCAAATGCAATGCGAATGTGTCATCCCTCCTAATGAGATGAAACGTCGAACGGGATTTTTTGTTACGGCAGGCAGAGCCTCACGTTGCGTTAACGAACTGCCTCAGACGATGTCTCCAATTCAGCCGCTTCTCGAATCACTTCAAACGCCTCTCTTGCTCATTCGCTAGACAACAGTCCTTCGCTCTCAGATACATCCGACAACTCTGACCCTCGGAACTGCAGGGGGCCTAAGCGGCTACAGCCTCCGCTAAAATGATTGCAAACGCAACACTGTAGCACTGTGATAAATCCCACAGGTAATGTGGTCATGAAAGCCATATAATCACTCTGTGTATGACGACAAGTTACGTGCCAATATATTTTTTTTATCGTTTTGTTATTTTGAGCTTTGATTTAGCTTTACAATTGCTATTTCACATTTTTAAAATGCAAGTGAAATAACCAAGGTGTATAACAGTGGAGCATCTGGCATGGGTGGCGGTAATACGGTAAAGGGAAGGAATTGAATTTCCAAAGAAGGGCCCCCCCAGAACTATAACAGCCCTGGGCCCCCATCAAACTTAATCCAGCCCTGGGAATCAAGGGTGACAGTTCGTCAAATTGCTGCACCTAAACATTCCATCGCAAACCCTTCAGGGATTGAATTTAAAAAATGTGACCGGTGAATTTTTTTGTTTTTGATTTAGACGCTGAAACTGCACGTACACACTACCACGACCCCCCCTCCGCACACATCTTTGCTGATCGTACCAAAACTCGGCTTTGAAAAGCAAATAACTGCAAGCAAGCAGCAGGAGAAAATATATTTACACAACCCCACGACTTGTCAGTAGTAATTGGTGTAAACAGTTGCCCGCTCCCTGCGGCTAAGCTACGTCATGTACCAAGCACGCGATGGCTCTGGGCAGGTATGATGATCATGTAATGACTGCATCGTGCCCACACAATCACTCCAGGGGTGTGTGTGTGTGTGCACAAGTGTGTATGCGGGGCTGCGCTGGCTGGGTCATTTAGCCCGCATGCCCAGCCACCGCATTCATAAACAGCTTTTGTTCGGCCGGATAGAGGGGGCTAAATGGACACGGCACGGGCTAGAGAAGAGATGGAGTGATGCGGTACAGGAGGATGTGGAGCTGAGTGGACTTGCCGATGACTGGTACCAGCGGTGTCAAGATCGGCCTGTGTGGAGGAGGCTCGTGAAGGGTGCTACTGGGCAGTTGGAGGCTGACAACAACGAAGGGCAGAGAAGCGACGCTCACAACAATGATCGGAGCGCCGGGTGGCTAAAGCACAGCAAGATAGTACAGTAGGGGGCAAAGGTGGTGCATCAGCCAGTCATCTCAGTCAGTCGACCCGTGGCACCTGGGTCTGTCCCGTGACCTCCTGCCAGCGGGCGTTCGACACTTCACGTGGCCTCAATGTGCACATAACCTGGCACAAGCGTCGTGGAGATGTCACCGCCACTTAGTGGCGAATGGTGGTTGTTGTTGTTGTTATGTGGGTATATATATGTATGGTAGCACACAGGGGAGCACAGGTGGTGCAACTGCCAGTCATCTCAGTCCGTTAACACACAACAGCTGGATTGGTCCCGTGACCTCATGCCAGCAAGTATTTTGCACTTCATGTGGCCTCAGCATGCACATAGCCTGGCACGACTGCTGTGGTGACGTCACCTTCATTCAGTTGCGTATGGCAGCTGTTGTTTTTATATACATGGGGAGCGGTGGCGCAGTGGTTCATGCCATGTGCTATATGAATCAGGCAACACTGGTTAGATTCCCGGCTATGGCTGACATAAATAGCTAATGTTATATAAACTGGTCCTAGGCCTCCACTAGGTTTACTCAGCCTTCACTAGAAACCTGTAAAACAGCAGCAGTAGGGGGAGGAAGGCGCACTTGCCTCAACAGCCAGTTAGAGGCTATACAGGGGATCTTTGTGCATGTGTGCGAGTGTGTATCCATGCGTGTGTGTGTGTGCGATTTCCGCTCCTGGCCACCACCAGTGACGATTAAGTCAACCGGTCCTGGGCCTCCTCTAGATCGACTCAGCCTCAAATGAGTACCTTGCGCAGTGTGTAAACGTTGCCACTCAGGAGACAATGGCGGCCGGGAGTGGCGCTGACCTCCCACACCCTCGTGTACCGTATCAGCCTTCATAGGCGCTCTCGAACAGCACTCGCCCCAACAGCCTGTTATAGGGGCTATACAGGGAATCTTTGTCATTGCTTGCGCATATGTGCGGCGGAGCATTCTCTCGCGGCTTTGAACGCAGCTCGTCTGTGCTCGTCTTGCCGTGGCCTGTGACCATGCGACCTTCGAACCCCCAGTCAAATCAGGTCTCGGCCTAGAGCCGAGGGGCACAGGGGGCGGGACGGGGGGGGGGGGGTGGGGACCGCCGATGGTTTGAGTTCAAACAGGGCCCCAGCTCGGTGCTGGAGGGCAGTGCACTCTCGGATGCGCCGACCGGCCTTCGGATAAGACGTTAAGTCGACATTACATTTGCTCCGCGGATGGAGGCCCCGAGTCTCCCGTGGCACTCTTCAATCAGACGCTTCGACTCCAGTGTCCTGGCAGCGATCCCACGACGGGTCAGAAAAACACGTCTGGCCTGGTCAAATTACCCACCGCTTGGATGCTGCCCAAATATCAAGACTTCCCCTGTGTGGGCTGGACATCTCTAACAAAGAGACGTATGGTTCTCAGCGGAGTTGCCCTGCATAAATATATCCTAAACTAAACAACTTACGCAAAGTCACGTTAATGTTTTATTCTCAAACTTAGCAGTATTTTACAGCGAGGAGTTTTGTTTTTTTGTGCCGTAAAAAATATGTACCTTGCAGGGCTGATTTGTTTTCCCATGATCCTTTCCTTCACCCACAATGCCGTGCTGTGGAGAAAGCCGCCTTCCTTCATGTAGCCTCCCTGTTGTGTGAGCAGGGCCGTGAGACCGGCCTTCCATGTGCTGCTCAGCTTCTCTCTCAGCTCATCTGCGCAGGGTAAACAAAAAAGGCAACCACTTTTATTGTCTTGTACAAATATTAACGTGAAAATGGGCCAGCAAAACACTTTACAAAAAACAGGAACTAAAAGGGCACAAGTAGTAACACCACTTCATAACTTTTTTATGATTAAATCCACCCATGTCATAAAGCAATATGATAAATACTTAAAATTGGGCTCCATAAAAAGTTAAACATCGTGTTGATGTTTATTCTGGCACGATCTTATGTTTATCACGTACACTACATTTATAACACGCTGGTATGCACGGCTAAGGAAAATTGGGGCATTAGTCGTGTTTACACGTATGAAAATAAACCAGTTCAGCACAACCGTTCATAACACAATGTTTCCAAAAATAAACCACCTCGTTTAGGTGGTTCAAATACATAAATCACTATATCTCGTTGTGCACGAGTGGGTGGATCGGTTAAAATTATTCTGCTGAATCGGTTTATTTTTATGCAGGTCAAGAGGTTGCGTGTATTGTATAGGCAACACATTTTTATCAGGAGGAATCCACAATGGGCGGATGCAGCGACTGGGCTAGTACCTATATAACCGGAGTTGTTAATCGATTTGATATTTATCAGTAACCGCTTAAGGAATCGAACATGGACGTCACAGGTCAAGCAATCGATGATCGAATCTGGTAAAGTTTAAGCAACGATTGAACCAATTGGCAAGTGCGAACGTTCGAACAGTAAGGCAGGAGAAACCAATGTAATTGGTCACGTCACAACCCATTATATAATACATAATATATATACTTTTGATTTAAAGCTTTCGTGACTGCAGGGATTCATATTCTTGGTTCTTTCGGTAAAGTCACGTAGAAGGGAAACAATAAAATAATAAAAAATATAAAACAATAAAATTCTCACGACGTTTCGACTGCAACACAAGCAATCATCATCAGGTGTGAAAACCACAGCAAGAAAATTTGAAAAAAGTGGCAGTTTTTTTAACGTTAGCACCACGGAGAGCGATTTGGCAGTTATTCAGACCACATCCATTATTTTCGTCTCCCCCCTCCTCTTTTCCGAACATAGATGGACTCGTCCATCTGAATAACTGCCAAATCGCTCTCCGTGGTACTAACGTTTAAAAAAAAAAGCCACTTTTTTCAAATTTTCTTGCTGTAATTTTCACACCTGATGATGATTGCTTGTGTTGCAGTCGAAACGTCGTGAGAATTGTATTGTTTTATATTTTTATTATTTTATTGTTTCCCTTCTACGTGACTTTACCAAAAGAACCAAGAATAAATATACATACTTTTAAAAGTTACAGCCCTTCGTCAGCCACAGCTAGATGAATGCTTCACCATGCCGTGTCGGTCACGGGAGTTGTTTGACCAAACTTCCCCAAGCTTATGAGAGTGGGTGGTTTTAATAATCATTGTTTTGCATGTCATTATCAATATTGCTGAAAAAGAAACTGAAACCCTGAAGTTAACCCTACATACCACCCAGACAGACAATGCACAGTGTAAATTTTGATTTAAAGCTTTCGTGACTGCAGGGATTCATATTCTTGGTTCTTTCGGTAAAGTCACGTAGAAGGGAAACAATAAAATAATAAAAATATAAAACAATAAAATTCTCACGACGTTTCGACTGCAACACAAGCAATCATCATCATCAGGTGTGAAAACCACAGCAAGAAAATTTGAAAAAAGTGGCGGTTATTTTTAACGTTAGCACCACTGAGAGCGATTTGGCAGTTATTCAGATGGACGAGTCCATCTATGTTCGGAAAAGAGGGGGGAGACGAAAATAACGGGTGCGGTCTAAAAGCCACCGTAAGCGTGAACAATCAATTAAGACAGTCACGACATCCGTCTCACACACACTTCCAAATACAATCACATGAGGTCTCAACAGAGCCATCGACCGCAGAAAAAAGTTCAATCGTGGGGGGCGGGCATCGCCAATAATACAATTCGCAAAAACGGCGCTTACCGGGCACCCAGCACAGGAAAGCCCTTCCGTTCACGTGGAAAAACGAGAGGAAGTTGCGGCGATCGCCGCCCGTGAACCTTGTGAAAAAAGCTCAATGGCAGGGGCAGTGAGGATGTGTGGGCCCCGGAGAGGAACTTGCCAGGGGGGTGACGGGCAGCCCAGGAATGTTCCCAGCAGTATGGCATGCGTAAAAATCAAGGGTTAAAAAAAAAAATCAGTTCAGCTCGATGTATTTTTAGCCCTCGACTTTCGATCTGGGACACTAATTTCGAAAAAATGTTTCAAAACGAACCAGCCACGGAAACGTTATAATTTAATAGGCCTACGCCCTCCGGGAGCCGAGGTCTCATCTGCTTGTTTGTGGACATTAACGAGAAACAAAAACTCCCACGGCACACAGTGGGCCGGTGTCGTCGCTAAATCTGCCAACAATTTGGTCGTTGCTCCTCAAAACAACCGAACAGAGAGAGGGGATGCTCCCACAATCATCTCAGCGCTCGGCTAATGATCGCCAACTCTCGGCGGGCATGACGGCCCTGTATTAGGATTACCACCTGTCCTGGTTTTCCCAGGATCGTCTTTCTTTTTGAGATAGCTGTTCTGGCCTTTTGTCAGTTAAGTAATATTACACCCACCCTCAGGATAATGCATCGCACGTATTTCTCCCATCTTCTGGTATTGCAAAGAATTCTTCTTCTTCCCATGACACGTCCCAGTTTTTTGTGTACCGCAGGGGTGGCAACCCAAGTCATTATCACCGCCACTGGGCGGTCCAAGAGGCCACCTTATTTGGTGCTTCTTGGCCATGACGATCAGTGGCGGAGGGGCCGCATCATTTTGTGATTTCGTGGTCCCGGGCGGAAGGGGGGGGGGGGGGGTGACCTGACCAAAACCACATGGCGGGGGATGGTTGTGTCATCAGCCACGTGACGCCGTGTTGCCGGCCCCTGAAAGGTGGTTTGCGGCCTACGGGGGAGGTTTTAAGGTTTTAGACAGCTGCGGCTGAGATTCTGGCAGAGGCCCCACATGTGGCACGAACTCCACAGTGTTGCACGCAACCCGTACACGAACTCCCTTTCCAGAATCTGTCTGGTTCTCGCGCCTTCCTGACCTAACCTTGGATTGTCCACGCAGCCCCAAAATATGAAGCGTCAGCGAGTGCGAGCGACCGCAGGGGATGACGCATCGTGATTGCAAGAAGTCACTGGAGCTATGTACTTTGAAATCTGGAATGAAAACTAATTTCTTAAAAAAACGCTTATCGTGTTTGTCGTCCTTCCCCCTCGCCTCTGATTTGTTCAGCTGGCTACGTACGGTGCAAAAGAAATCCAACAAACATACATTGTTTGCGTCTCCCTGACTCACGTTTCGGTTTTACTAAACGATGATTATGATGATGACCCACAAGTGAGTGCATTCATACTTGCAGGGAAATGGGCAATATTAAACAATAAATGAAGTATTACGTAGCATTTGTACACAGTAAACAGTTGTTATGAAAGATATGAAAAATATATCCAGTAATGCAGAAAAAGTAAACGATAGTGGGCTGTTTTACTAGTTACGTAAAACCTAAATTTTAAGTTAAATGTAAAAAGTGTCACGTTTTTTTTTCAATCAGTTTTGAAAGAATCCCTTTCCCAATTCATTTAGCCACGGCCACTTCCGCCACTGCCGCCGCATAAATCCCAAACGCCTCGTATTCGCGGACGGCTCGGGTAAACGAGACGCCATTTCTACATCGTGAGGCATGGGTTACTGTGACGTCCCGGAGTGAAGTCGCCAAGTGTGTGTGTGTGTGTGTCGGGGGAACGCGCAACTCCATAAAGACGTCTAAATGGTTGTCCCACGACGCCCGGCCGGTGCTGCGCGATGTCAACTCGTGACCACGATGGCGCGGCCACCACCACCGCCGCCGCCGCTGTGCGCTGCATTCCAAGGAACCTTTCTAAAGCCGCCGCTGCTTTCCCTGCGAGGCACAGGACTGGTTTATAATTAAAACAAGCCTTTGTCTTTTTAACGGGTCGACGCTATCTTTAGCCTAAGTCCCAAACTTAGCACGCGTCCCCATCTAAAAATTGCGATCCAATATTTAAAGAAATGTCGAACACGCTGTCCTGTCTTCGACATTAATCCTGTCTTTAAATCATGGTCCGACATATAAGATGGGTCCTGTCTTTAACATGCATCCTTTGGTAGACACTGAACATGTGTTTAAAATGTATCCTATCTTAACACCGTGTTCAAAAATGGCCCTCTACTTAATACGGGTCGCTAATTGACTGACCCCATGTTCAACAATGACCCTATCTCTAACTTGGTGTATATATTTAACAAGGGCAATACTTTCAACAGTGACAATGACCCTCGAGTGATATGTTTGGTGATGAACGCTGCTGAACATCCGTGTTACAAACGTCGCTCATGAGAAATACCGTTTTGCAACACACACAAACCATACATGGTGTTGGACCAGAAGACGTCTTCTGGTCCAACACCATGTGAGACGAGGCTCTAAAGAAAGCTGTCTCGGGTGTGGATCAATCAATTTCAAGGACAGTGCATACATTATCAGAGTTGTTGTTTTTTGTTTGCGTTCCGACCGCAGGTATTGTGGTCAATGTAAACATGACTCCTTGTAAAAAAAGGCGTCAGTTTTGTTGCCAGATAAAAGGGTAAAAAAACAATTATCATATATCGATTGTTTACTTGTTATGTGTAGACATTTCCACGAGGCAATGTCCGAGCGAGCAGTGCACCATATCGTGTCGAAGAACGGCGCCAGGAATAGGAAATTGCAGAACTACTTCTGGGGTCACTTGATCAGAACTCTTTATTCAGATTAGGGGCATGCCTGCTACGCACGTCAATCAAAGCAAAACATGCATAACTGCATGAGCATAACTCCAATTCGTACAAAAACACTGAATATGATGTTGTATTCGTGTGCAATCATTCGTGAGTGGGCTGAGACCATCGACTCACTATACTCAGGGCAGCATTAAGTTTGATGGGAGCTTAGG